TCCCATTGAAAACAAGAGATATTTTTGTATTAATTGTGTGTCCACAAATGTGTTGCTGTTTCGCTACAGCTGCGGGCGATGAAACCCGAACCACAAAACTCAACAAACCTACATGGAGTTTATTGGGAAAGGGAGCGAAGGGAGGGGTAGGTGATGGTCAACTGGGAACAAAGATAAAGGGGAAGGGAAGAGAAAAGAGGTAAAGACACAGAGACAGAGAGAGGACGGGAGAGAAGAGGGAGACAGGAAAAGTCCGGTCTGCCCCAGGGGAACAGCAGGAAAGAGAGAGTGGAAAGAGAGAATGGGAAAGAGAAGAGAGCAGAAAGAGATGAGCAGGCAAAAAGACAGTGAAGTGGGCGGGGTCTTTCTTTTAAAGGGGTCCTTTGCATCTGACCAGGGTACTGCTTGTGTGCATTCTGCCAGGTGACAGGGGCAGGCCAGGATAATGCCTGAATCCTTATAACATGTGTGTCTCCAAAGGACAGTGAACTCTGAAGAAGCGGCTGGATGATATGATGCTTCCTAGACAAAGACTGATGCATGAAATGTCATGAAAAAAAGGCCTGTGGAGGGGACCGTAAATTTTAAAGAATTGTGGGGGAAGTGGCTCAGAGGTTAAGAGCACTCGCCGATCTTCCAGAGGACCAGAGTCAGGTTCCTACCACCCACGCCAGGAAGCTCATCACAATCTTCAGAAACAGCTCCAACAAATCGATGTGGTCTCCATGGGCACCGGAACACATGTGGCTTGAAAGAAATGGCCCCCAAAGGGAGTGGCGCTATTAGGAGGTGTGGCTTTGTTGGAGTAGGTGTGGTCTTGTTGGAGGTAGTGTGTCACTGTCCGGTGGGCTTTGAGGTTTCCAGTGCTCAAGCTAAACCCATTGTAGAAGACAGTTCATTTCCTGCTGCCTGTGGATCAAGATGTAAGAACTCTCAGATCCCTCTCCAGCACCCTGTCTGCCTGCATGGCAGCACCACGCCGCACCGTGATGATAATAGACTAACCTTCTGAAATGTAAGCTAGCCATAATTAAATGTTTTCCTTCATAGGAGTTGCCATGCTTTTCACAGCAATAGAAACCCTAACTAAGACATGTGGCATACACACGTACCCATAAATAAAATTTAAAAATAAAATTCTAAAGAATCATTAAGAGATTACGGGATATTAAGCTACTTGTAGTTAAGGCTGAATCAGAGAATTTATTGATTCAGGTTCATCACAGACCTAATTATCACTCTCTGGGGATGAAAGTGAATTTCTTGCCTTGGAATAGGGTAAACAAAAGTCTCTTGCATGGAAGCCTTGGCTGTTGTTCTTGCAAAGGAGGAGTAGATAGAATGCATTCCTCTTGTAAAGATACAGTTCCTTGTGTGATTTACAGCTTGAAATAATCAACAAGACAGCTTGCTGTACTTTAAGACGGGTACATCCTTAACTCTTTTTCAAAGAGACAGGGAAGATACATTTAAAATAAACACAGCCTGCCTGGAAACCTTACCTACTGATTTCTGCATCTTCCCACCCACCCTAGGAACACAAATCCTAATGTTGTAATGGGACTGCAGGAGCCCAGCTCCCAGTATGGGCAAGTGTCCCTCTCTAGACATCCCAAAGGAGATCCCCTGTGCAGTCCCAGATCATGCCCATTTGTCCCAAGACAACTCTGCCCTTAAGCACCAAGGCTTCTCCTGAACTAAGCTATGCTAACCCTCCCTGCCCCATCCAATTACATGAGTTTGAGAGCTTATGGTAGGAGTCACTAATCCCCCCCATCGGTGTGTGAAACTGACCTTGTTTGTGAACTCAGCTTTAAAATAAGTCATCTAACCACAACCTGTCAGGCTGTTCCCTAAGTCAGCGTTTTAAAAGTACAGAACATATGAGTGGACAGCCCTAAAATCATGCTAGGGTTTAGCTTCTAGATTATTTAACATAAGTGGTAACAGTCTGGAACGAGAAAGTTGGAAGGGAGGAGGAAAAGACGTGGAGGGGAGGGGAGGAGAGAGAAGGGGAAAGCAGGGGAGGATTGTGTGTTGTAGTAATGGGATATATGGTATGTCATATGAAGTGATGTTTCATATATCTTTCCGTGTATATTGGGATGCAATATAAATTATATTTTTACTGCAGGTTATAGGACAAGGTAATAAAAAAAGAACATTACCCTGAGTCCTTAAACAAAAAAAATGTACTTCCCATCACATCAGGCTATTTTATTTTATGTGGGGGCATTCTTTTTCTTCTCTTTTCCTTTCCATCTTTCTTTCTTTTCCTTTCTTTTCTTTTCTTTTTTGAAGCAGGGTCTCACTCTGTAGCTTCATCTGTCCTGGAACTTACTGTGTAGACCAGAATGACTTTGATTTCACAGAGATCATGCTATTTCTGCCTGCAAAACACTGATCAAGGACGTGAGCCACCGAGCCTGGCAAAACACATCAGGCTATTTTAGATGTTTTCTCATTACTGTGACAAAATGCCTGACATAAACAGCGTGAGGAAGGGACGGTTTGTTTTGGACGACAGCTTCAGAGGATTTGGGGCATGGTTACTTGACCCCCTGTTCACGGGGCCATCATGTGCCAAAAGTGTGTGTCAGAGGGACTCCTTCATGGCAGATTGGAAGAAAAGAACATGCAGGAAAAAATTCCTAGATGATGTAGCCCCCAAGAAAGTAGTCCCAGCGACCTACTTTCTTCAGCCTGAGAACAGTTCTTAATCCATATCCATGAATCCATCAAGGGGTTAATCAGAGCCTTTGTGATCTTAATCATCTGTGGATATTCCCTCAAACACACACCCAGAGGTGTGCGTCACTAATCTCCTAGGCATGACATCAGCCACTGAGTCAAGTTGACAATTGAGATTAATCATCACCGAATCCCTTAAAGATAATTAAAGGGCTCTCTGGCATGTTTGCTCACAGAAACACTTAGATAGCTAATTGATGTTACCTTTAGGGACATGGAGACCAGTTTAGGTCATAGGCACTGCTCAAAACTTGGATCACTCCGTTCTTATACAACAGAGCCACATGTGTTCTGGATATGGCTCTGCTGTGTAACAATGGGAGTTTCTTACCACAGAGAGACTCTCAGTAGCAGAGAGTGACAGAGAAAAGGCCCTCTTGTGGCCTTGGGGCCCACCAAAACAACCTTCCCACAGGCAGCTCATTATACATTTGCTTCTTAGATACTAGATGAGAGGACTAGGGTGAGGCTCAGGGCACAAGCACTCTTCCTGTGAATGCATTGAGATATGCTTTTGAATCCCCAGTCCCCATGTAAAAAGTTGAATGTGACCTTACATAATCCCAGAACTGGGGGCAGGGAGATAGAGACAGGTGTATCCTGGACAGTTTGCTGGCCAGCCAAAATGGCGAGAGACCTTGTCTCCGGGCAACAAGGCAGAAAGGAATAGAAGAAGACATCTGATGTCGACAACATGCATGTACATGCGCATGCACCCACACAATGCCTTACATGCAACGCACACATGTGCATTCACACACACGCACACGCATGCACACGTAAGCACACAGGCACATAAGCTCACCCGTGTGCTCACACATGCACGCACGCACACACTTAGAAGAATCTACTTTTCTCTTGCTCATCTAATGCCTTCCATCCCCCACCCAGATGACTTTCATTTACCCCACTCCTCATCATTTTACTTTTCTTTAGATCAATAGTTTTCATAGAATTTTCGGTCGCATGGTTCTTCATCTCAAAGGCCCTCCTTCATAGGACCCCAGCATATAAACTAGAAATGTAATAAATAGCTTCTGGGAGCATCAAAATCACTATTTTAGGTGAAAAAAGAATAACGATAACAGCTTTTTAAAGAGTCCCTGGGGTGTATGTGCAGAGACTGGTTTGAAAAGTGAGTCCAGGATAAACTAGTTTAAGCTGGACGATGTCCGTGCTCGGGGACTCTGAGCAGGGGGAGATCACATGAACTATGTTTGTCTGACAGTCACGTAGCTCTGCGTTGACGTGTGACTTGGGCTTCTGCCTTCTCTAGCTACACTGCCTGAGGAAACAGTTCAGCTTCTTCACAGCTGTTTCCTCATCTACACATTATCAGGACTTGTCTGGAGAATCCTCCCATTCTTCAAGATCCACTGGTCTACAAGACGGGCCTGCTTCTAAAGCGTGGTGCTGACACTCGTCATAAACCAGTAGGCTGTGATGGAGGGCCTAATCACCACTGTCATCCTCCCAACTTCTTTTTGATTCATCAAAAGGTTCTCCGTCTGTCGTGGGTAATTTTTATAATACTTAACCATCCAAGCTACCAAAATCCATTTAAAAACTAACTATCGAGTCATGCTATAGTGATGACAATTACCATAGCAAACTTTCAAGCAGCGAACAAGCTCAGAAGCTGAAATGTTGGGCCTAAAAAGGCTTGGATGTGAGGCCCAGTGTAAGCTCCTGAGCCTGGCTAGAGTTTAGTGACCTGTCTCTAACCCGTAACCTCTACGTGGAGGTGACTCAGCCAGATCTGATGCAAGATTGCCCTTGCCTAGCTACCTGCCTGCTTGGTGGAATACTATTGGCCCTTAACTCCTCACGTCACCTTACCCTATCCCAAGATTCCCATCCCCTACCTTAGTCCTATATAAGTTCCTGCATGTTGGAATAAATCAAGATCCTGCTTCGACAGACTGCCGACTCAGTGTGGTTTTTTCTCCCTGGTAACTAATTGGGGGAGGGTCTGAGTCGTGGACACTCACCATCCCGCTCAGCCCCTGGGAAGAGGCCGGCTGGACTGGGCCTTCCCCAGCTCTACCTGCAGGGAGGACCCTACACTGAAATCCACTCTGTGGCTGTAACCATAAGCAGCACACTTGTTGAGGGTATAGGTAACTGTTTATTGTAGAAATTACTTACAAGAGAAGATGGCAACCAAGGTGAGTCAGTGCAGCTTTTGCCACAGAACCAGAAGCCAAAAAGAGAGCATGTGGCTCTCCTGCACGGTCTTTTATTATCATCTCTGTACATGCCTCTAGCCACGCCCAAAGTGGGCATGGCTAGTGGCATAGTTCACCGCCCTTTCATTACTACATCAGTTTGTTAGTGGGGCAGTCCTAAAGTCTCCTCCTACACCATGCAGTCTCTCAGTAGGCTGTAGCGGACTTGCTAATGTCTCCTGGCTTAAGGCTGGGTGGAGATGGAACTCTCCAGTACGGCCATTGTGGAAAGCCTTAATATTGGGTCAAAGCATCTCCATCTGGTTGGATCAGCAGCCCACTAACAGAAGAGACAAATGACCCACTCAGAGTGGAAATCGATTCCCACTGAACAGGTCAGTAGGAGACTCCTGCCGGACCCTGAAATGTCCCGTGGCAGCTTCTTGGGGATGTAGGAGTGAAGAAAAGAGCAATTGACTCTTGTGCTTTGGAGACTCCTGGGTCCTACTACCCAGCCTCTTTAGTTTGTAGCAGAGAGAAATGCAGACTAGTTCAACGCTGCACCCAGCTGAGTCTCCCTTGTAGGTCAGGTTAGGAGTGCAGAATAGGTCTCCTTTCCCCTCTCCTTCCTTCATAGGAGATTTCTCCTTGGATACCCTTTCTAACCTTCTAGGGGTTCTCATGGATATTAAATATGTTGAAGGCTCCTACTTTCTGCCTCAAACTAGGAGTGAGAATCTAAGGGTCTTGAGAAAGGTCAGGCAGTTTTGTAAAGCTGCCACATCTGATGGGATAGATTTCCATGCTGTTTATTTTATGGATTACCAAGGTTCATTTTCATTTGGCTGAACTATTCCCAAGGCGTCTGAAAGGAAACGCTGCCATGCGAGCAGCCCCGTTTGACACAAACCTGAAAACCAAACGATCTTGAATGTTGAAGGGCTCTGCCTCAATGAGGAGGTAGGTGGAAGTCTGACCCCATTGTGGTGGAGCTGCAAGGGAGAGGGAGGCAAAGGGAGAAGGAAGGGAGGAGTTAGAGGGAGAGGGAAGGAGGGAGCAAGAGATGGGGGAGCAAGCTCTGCAGGTGCCTGGAGCACACATGCCTGGTGCTCCTCCTTGGACTCCATGCAACTCCCACTGTTCCCGCCGCTCACCGTCGTTCCTTTGTCACGTGTTTAGTGCTGCTGCAGCGCACATACACTGACGAGGTCTCTCCATCAGATAGTCTTGATGCCTTAGCTTCTGAAGATGCTAATTCGGAAAGCCAGGATGCACTGGAGGGACCAAGGCACACTAGAGCATGAATCTACTTGGGCAATGGAAGAATGCAGAAGACCAAGGAAAAGACAGAGAGGCATCGCAGCCACCCCTGTCAAGTACAAGAAGTCTTCCCAAGTCAAGACATGTTTAAACTTAGGTTTAAAGGGAGGAATTAGTGCAGTAGCCATGGCCAGGGGAACTTTTCACACAGAAGAAATGATATTAAGTATAAGGAGGTATTATATTAATTGCATTAACATATAAATGATATCAATTATAAGTCTAAAGGATTCAGCTTTTGAGTCTTGCAGAGGTCATGGGAGGAGCCCACTGGGATCTGTAACTAAGCCAGAGGTGGTAGAAGACAATGTTCAACGAGTCCAGCCAGTGGCCTGCCTCAGGTATCAGAACCAGAGCAGAACGGCGTGAACACAAGGTATGGCTTGTGAGGGGATGTGTGTGACTAGGAAGCACCAAGAGACAGTGACGAAATAAAAATAATGGGAGTCAGTTTCCTCAACACTAGAGAACGGGGTGAAACATTTACATAAAAACTATCATAAGCTAGGATCAATGGTATAGTCCTAGCTTGTGGTTGGACACATCATTCTGATTCCTAAGGGGTTAATTGTCAGAACAAATTCTACATAAAAACCACAGAGTACTGCATTTGCGGTCAGTGTTTCCAGTTTGATGGCTCTCCTGTTGTCTGTAATTGTGAATCCTACTGGCTATGTTTTACCTCTAGTATTGTGTGTTTTCATTCTAGAACCCTTTTTCTTTTGTTCTCGATGTCTGTTTCTCTGTTAAAATTCCATGGCTGTTCATTCATTACTGTTACCTTTTAACGTGCTTAAATGAATTTAGAAAGTCCATTCTAAAGTTCTTGTGCCCCGATTCCAATCCAGTGATCTGGGTCATTGCAGCATAGGTAATAATTGCCTATTTTCATTACAGATGATGCGTTCTTGCTTGATGCTTGCCCGTTAGTTTTCACTGTATCCTGGATAGCATCACTCTAGAGTGTCAAGAGTCCAGACTTTGTTACATTTCTTCAGAGAATACTGTGTTAGTCTCTGGCTGGTAATTCACTGGCAGAGAGAACCATCCTTTCAAGAGTTGTCTATGGGTTTTGCTGCCTTGTGTCCAGCCAGAGCTCTTTGAAAGGGGATCTGTTAACACACAGCAAGGCTTGAAGGGAGGGGAAGCAGGGAGCTTTGCAGGTCCTGATCATCTGTAGGCATCTTGGCCTCTGAGTGCAGGCAGCTGTCTAGATGCTGCTGTACGGGAAGAAAGGTCAATTTCCTCCTTGGGGGTCAATTGAAGGATCTTTCAAGCATAATTATGGCTAAGGTGGCTATTTAAAGATCAAATCTGTATTTAAAACTCCCAGTATTAAAAAAAATGAAACTCACCTTCAGGCAACTGGAATCATAAGGTCTCACTAGAGGGATATCCCACATTTACTGTTTAAAGGGTCCCAAGTTACATTTGCTATGCAAACAGAGTTGCCAACCTGTATTAGGATGTGCGCATTCACCAGAATGCCTTTAGAAGGAGGGGGAATGACACAGGTCATTCTAAGGGTAAATGGAAAAGCTTCCTCGCGTATAAGATCAATAGGAAATAATGAATCCCGGGGGAGCCATCCACAGCAAAACACACAGCAAGGAAATTGATCGGTACAGGCAGGATCAGCAACACTGATGTCCATGGCCTTGGATCTGGGGAACTAGGGTGGTGGTTTTGGCCTTGCAACCCAGTGCTGTGCTCCAGGGACATATGTGGCATGGTTCCGTGGAAAGGTGTGTCTTTACATTTTCTCACATGACAAGGACTGTCCTCTTAGGACTCTGTGTGTCCTTCAGCTCTCTACAGATCTAGCACGCAAGTCAGTTGTTTTAATATCATAAGGGATTATGTTACACACACACACACACACACACACACGGAAAATTATAAATATAGAAAAATATGACAAAAAACTATGATTAAGAAGCAAAACTTCCTCCTAAACCCATCATTTCAACCTAACCACTTTTGTTTTACCAAAACGCACATAGATAATATACACACACCCATATATGTGTACAGTCAGCCCTCCGTACTCATGTACTCATCCAGTCATGTACCTAAAAAAATTAAATAATTGCATTTATACTGAACACATGCAGAAGTTTCCTCTTGCCATCCTGTAAGCCACATTGCACAACTATGTGCAAAGTATTCACATTCTCTTAGGCATTATTGTCAATCTAGAGTTGACTTAGAGTATATGGGAGAATGTGCACACATTATATGAGAATGCTATGCTACTCTGTATAAGGGACCTGAGTGTCTGTGGGTTTTCTTTTTCTTGTGAGTCTTAGAAACAGTTCTCGACAGACACTATTCTCCACAGATACTGCATTTGCACATACATACATACATATATACATACATACATATACACATACTGTAAGTGTGTGTACATTAATGAATGTGTGCATGCATGCATCCATATACCAGACCTGCTACTAAGCTGATTTAAAAACCTCAGGACAGTGTAAAGAGATTATATCTCCTAAAATGGTAAGAATGGAAACCACTTCATTGGGCTGCTGTAAACTAACACTGGCTAATACGTGGTTAAAAGCTTAGAATTTTTCTGGCCATGCTAGGCTTCACTAGACATCAGAAAGGACATGGAAGAGGAAGATCGGGAAAGAGCTCAGTGATGAAGGGAGGAGGGAGCCAGGTGCACAATGGACAGTATGTTAAAGAGGCAGATAGAAGATGAGAACTGAGAGCAGTGGTGAGGACAGGAAGTAGAAATCTGCAGTTGAGGGCCAGAGAGCCCAGAGAAAAGTGACCAATTTCTTCCTTGGATGAAAGCTGGAGATGTCCACAGCCTCATTCTTGCCAGAGGCCAGAGATGCCAGGATAATCTAAGCTAAAATAGTCTCTGGTTTCACCGTGGCAAGAGACCGGGGTGCCAGTAATGGAGGGCTGGTCTTCCCTTATCCATTTTCCATAAAGAGACATCCCTTTCCTAGAAACCATGCCGAGAATATGATTAGAACTGTGAAGACATCAACACACCTCATCCCTCTTCCGTCCCTCCACAAACTAACACCTTATTAACTTCAATGCCACCCCGCCCACTAGAAAGCTCTGCCTTTTTCCTTTCTCAAGTTCCCTGTAATAAATACTTCTTGCTAAAACTCATCATGTATGATCCTTGAATTCCATTCCTCCAATCTGGGAAACAAGACGCCTCTGGTTTGGGTTAGCTTTGGTGGCCATTGAATGACCAGAACCTTAGCCTTGCAAGGGCTGAGTAATGTTCTGTCATTCTCAAAGGCACCCAGATGTTCCTACAGGACTTCCTAACCTCAGAGTCAAGGCTACGAGATTCCTTTTCTCCTTTTTGTTTGTTGAAACAATCTCACTCTTCAGTCAAGGCTACCCTGGAACTCACTATGTAGTAAAAGCTATCTTTGAACTTCCAGGAACCTGCATACTAGACTCCCATGTGTGGGGATTATATGAATCTCAAGCCCAGCTCCAAACAGTTGTCTTTACTGGAGGCTCTTGTGTGATTCTCAGTTGCCTGGCAGCCTCAGTGCCAGCAGCATCCCCTATCTAAAGGCATCGTAATCAGAAGCATCTCCAGACATGCCAAAATCTTCCCTTGGGGACAACACTACCTCACAGTGAGAACCAGTGACACAGACCTGTAATATTCTGATTCCCGCCCTTTCCCTGGAAAACTATTCCTTAAGCAAATTCACATGTGCAAAATCTTACGGAGACTCACTTGGAATTTATATTTCTGCCTTTTCAGTAAACATCACAATTACTTCCCCACACCATTAAGCATTGCTACAAATGTCCGTATCATAGTCTATCCTTCTAACACGCTCTCATTATTTTAATGGCACACACTATTGTGAAGTATGTTGGTTCCATTTTTTTCCAACCAAAATCAAAACAACATCTCCCAAACACCCACACAACACAGATGAACACACACATTCATGTAGACTTAAATCTTCACCTTTATTTCTACATTTTTTCCACTAAGGAGATTTCTAGCAGTAAAACTGTTAAAACAAGAGTCATAAAAATATGACAAAGCCTTGATATGCATTGTCTGGTTGATTTCCAAGGCAGCTGTCCACACCCAGACTCAGCAGCATAGCACATGAATGGTTCGGAACCATGATAGATGAAGAGCACCCTTTGTCTACACTTTTGAAAAATAAAATGCAATGCTCTCTGCATAAAGATTGTGTCGTGGGTGATGGAGCAATGCCCCAAACTCCAATAACATTCATGAGGAAGAGGTATGACATGGAAACTATCACTAAATCTTTTTATCAAGAGGAAGGACTTTCTCATTTCTGGGGGTTTATCAATGGCTTAGGAGGTAAGACTGAAATCCAAGGCTGGGTGACTGGTCAACACAACATTGAGAAATTGGTTTTCCATTCCATTTAGGATAATTCCAGGTCACCTACAGAAGGAGAGTATTCTTTTTGTAATAACAGAAGATCCTCATACACACACACACACACACGCACGCACGCACACACGCACGCACGCGTGCACACACACCCTGTTGACTAACCTCCACATTTGGTAGGCTGCTTTCAGAAAGAGAAGGGAGACACAGACTGTGGGTAGCTGGATGACTTTGGGTCAACATGGAAATTTCTGAATCTGGGTTCTCTTTTGCAGCTGAGGTTATTGTCACAACGTCTCTGAGCATCAGGCCAGCGTCTATGCTCAGGACACCTTGAAACTCTTCATCACACTCTAGTGAGGACCACATGGACTTCTGTGACAATGCATGGAATGTACTTTGAGCGAAGGAGGCTTGTTACCTAATTGGCTTGAAGAAGATGAAGATGGAGACAACAGGCGAGAGGAAGAAACCATGAAGGAGGATACAGACAGTGTGATGGTTAACATTGTCAACGCTAACATTATCAGCTTAACACAACCCAGACTCACCTGGGAAGTTTCAATAAAGGGTTGTCTGTATTGGGTTGGTCTTTGCGCATGTTTGTGGTGATTGTCTTAATTGAATTAATTGCTGTGGGAAGACCCAGCCCACTGCAGATGGCACTGTCCCACGGAAGAGGATTCAGAACTCTGCTAAAGAGGAGAAATAACGTCTATCACAAGCAAGCAAGCAGTGAACTTGTAATGCACTCCCTTTCTGCTCTTGACTGTGAATGTTATATGACTAGCTATTTGAAGTTCCTGCCTTGTCTTCCCCACAATGATGGACTATAAACCTGGGACCATAATCTGAACTAAACCTGTTTCTCCCCTAAAGTGCTTTATGACAGGGTGTTTTACCACCACAACAGAAATGATCCAGGAGAGATGGTAATGTAACAGGTCAGGCTGGTGATCACTGAGGCGGGAGGCAGAATTCTGGTGTTGAGGCAGTGGTCATAAATTACAACCAACCCTGGGCAACATTGACCCTATACTCACACCTAGAAATGGACTACTGCCATCCAAGACTGACAGATAAAGAAGCCATAGTAGAGAAGAATTGAGTGCATTATCCAAGAGACAAAAGTCTAAGCTTGTTTTTATAACATTACTGCACACAGGTTAGGATCTAGATATTGCCCCTCCTCCAAAGATAGCTACAGCAGATTCCATAGACAGACAGAAGGATCCCTGGGTTGTGAAAGCATCCAGGCTCCATTTCTTCTGGAAACAGACAGGTATCTCATGGCTGAAAGCATCTTACAGTACAGATCTGTTAAAAAAAAATCCCTGTGGTGGTTATTGGGGATACATACTTTAAACAACAGCCAGACAGAACCCATCCATCTGCTGCATACAAGAAACACATCTCAACGTCAAAGACAGACTTTACCTCAGAGTAAAGGGTTGGGAAAAGATTTTCCAATCAAACAGACCCATGAAACAAGCTGGTATAGCAATCCTAATATCTAACAAATCAGTCTTCAAGTTGAAATCAATCAAAAGAGATGAAGAAGGACATTTCATATTCATCAAAGGAAAAGTCCATCAAGATGAAGTCTCAATTTTGAACATCTATGCCCCAAACACAAAAGCACCCACATTCGTGAAAGAAAGATTACTAAAGCTCAAATCACACATAAATGTGGGAACAAAACACCTTGGCCAGAGGCCCACTTCCCCATCAGCCTGGGAGCAGGCAGCTGTTAGACAATGTTTACTAAAAACATGTTTACTGAAAACAATCTGGTGCCAAAGAAGCTAAAATTATACAATCTTATACAAATCTTCAACAAATGGTGCTGGCATAACTGGATGTTGGCATGTAGAAGACATGTCTGTCACCATGCACAAACTTAAGTCCACATGGATCAAAGACCTCAGCATAAATCCAACCACACTGAACCTCTTAGAAGAGAAAGTGGGAGGTACCCTTGAAAGAATTGATACAGGAGACTGCTTCCTGATCATAACACCAGTAGCACAGACACTGAGATTGACAATTAATAAATGTGACCTCATGAAACTGAGAAGCTTCTGTAAGGCAAAGGACACAATCAATAAGACAAAAAGGTAGCCCACAGAATGGGAAAAGATATTCACTAACCCCACATCTGACAGAGGGCTGATCTCCAAAATTTACAAAGAACTCAAGAAGCAAGTCTCCAAAACACCAAAGGATGCAATTAAAAAGTGGAGTATAGAACTAACTAGAGAATTCTCAATAGAGGAGTCTAAAATGGCTGAGAAACACTTAAGAAAGTGATCAACATCCTTAGCCATCTGGGAAATGCAAATCAAAACAACTCTGAGATACCATCTTACTTCTGTCAGAATGGCTAAAATCAAAAACACTGGAGAAAATTTATGCTGGAGAGGATGTGGAGAGAGGGGAACTCTCCTCCACTGCTGGTGGGAGTGCCAACTCTTACAGCCACTTTGGAAAGCAATATGGAGATTCCTCAGGATAATGGGAATCAATCTACCACAAGACCCAGCAATTCCACTCTTAGGCATGTATCCAAAAGATGCAAATTCGTACAACAAGGACATCTGTTCCACTATGTTTATTGCCACATTATTTGTAATAGCCAGAACCTGGAAGCAACCTAGATGCCCCTCAACTGAAGAGTGGATAGAGAAAATGTGGTACATTTACACAATAGAGTACTACTCAGTGGAAAAAAGACAATGGAATCTTGAAATATGCAGGCAAATAGATGGCACTAGAAGAAACCATCCTGAGTGAGGTAACCCAGTCACAAAAAGACAAACTTGGTATGTACTCACCCATATATGGATTTTAGACATGGATCAGGATAGTTCCAGCCTACAATGCCACTGACAGAGAGTCTGGGAAACAGGAAAGAACCTAAGAGAGGTATGCATGGTACCCCAGAGAAGAGGAACGAGGCAAGATCTTCTGAACAGATTGGGAACATGGCGGGAGTGTGGGGGGAGTGGGAGCTGGGAAGAAGAGAGGGGGAGAAGAGGAGGAGGGAGTAGGTCATGGGGGAACACCAAGGTTGAGTGGGGGGTAAAATAGGGGGAGAACAGGATGAAAAATACCATAATAAATAATAGGGAGTCATAGGTTTGAAGAGAGATCGTGCACCAGTGAGACCTTTAGCCATCTAAAAGGATGACACCAACTGGCAAGCTAAGCAATAGTGGAGAGACTACCTTAAATGCCCATTCCTGATAATGAACTTGACGTCTACCTTATATGCCTTCCTAGAACCTTCATCCAGTGACTGATGGAAGCAGAGGCAAACACCCACAATTAAACACTGAACTGAACCCATGGAAACCAGTGACAGAGAGAGAGGAGCAATGAGCAAATTGGCAAAGAATGGGCTGGTAAAACCAGCAGAGACAGCTGATCTGAACAAGGGGGAGCTCTTGGACCCCAGACCGACAGCTGGAAGGCCAGCATGGGACTGATCCAGACCCCCTGAGTGTGAGAGTCAGTGAGGAGACCTGGGAAACCTATGGGGCCCTGAGCAGTGGATCAGTGTTTATCCCTGGCACACAAATGGACTTCATGTGTCCATAACACAAAGAGGGATGCTCTCTCAGCCTGGACTCTTAGGGGACTGCCTGGCCCCTGCCCTGAGTGAAATGACAGACTCTGGAGATCCCCTATGTAGAAGGAAGTGGGGATAGGGTGGGAGGCTGCGGGAGGAGGGGAGGGAGAGGGAACTGGGATTGGCATGTGAAGCAAACAATTTAAAATTAAAGTAATAAAAAATTTAAAAGGAGGGAGGGAGAAACAGAGACACAGAACAAGACATAGAGGCAGAGACAGAGATTCTGATTCTTCTATAAGGATTTTTCTCATTTGACTCTTAGAACTGAAAAGTCTTAGGATTCCAGTCCACCAACTGCAGATCTGGGGAAGTAGATACTATAGTTCTGCCCAGGGGTCAGCAGACCCAGGGAGAGTGGTGATCTCAGTTCACATGCAAAGGCAGGAAGACCAGTGCCCTACATCATGGCTATCCAGTACTTCACACTGGCACTCAGGGTAGTCGGTCTTTGTTCTCTTAGGTCATAAACTGACTGCATAAGCCAGGTTGTGAACAATAGGAGCCGAACAAGGACTAGGGTGAAATGTGTGAGCCAGCCAGGGCACATTTAAAGAAAAACTCATTCCAAAGTGTAGGAGTAACCTTTGGGAAAAAGAACTTGCTTACATTGTATACTATAGCAACACACACCATTGAATAATGTCTCCACAGGTCTTAACAGTGTGTTGAAAAGGAATGTGTGTGTGTGTGTGTGTGTAACACAATCTTAGGAAAAGATGAGAATGATTCTGTTGTCTGTGACTCCCATATAGGAATGCTTAGAGACATCCTACACTTTGAAAGTACAATGTCAAGAAGGGCAAGCTTGATATCCAGTGACAAATACAAACAACACTTGCCTGAAGAGTTAAGAGAGAGCTCTGGGCATCAGTATTGAAATTGTACTATTAAGGCATCCTTACAGAAAGGGACAGACTTTCCATCTCCAGTAATGGATGTTGGGAGAAATGGACCATTTTCTGGCAATTCTAGGGGGAAATTGTTGATGATTTAATGGTGATGATGTGTAGGTATTTTCTCTTAATTGAAACATTCCCTTCAGTGGAAAGGAAGGAGGATAATAAAACCCAAGGAAACTTACAAGGTTTAGGAAGCTCCCGAAACTCACAAGATTCACAAGGCTCTTCCCAAGGTTACAAAAGCAGTAACGATTGCTGGAGAAAAAACTTCTCCCTTCAGATCAACCTGCAAGTTGTGCAAAAACATCTAAGGATGTAGTTTCCATGCATCATTGCCCATGCTGTGGAGGGCATTTTGGTGATCAGGTCCCTTTAAATACCCACACATTTGCAAGTAATCCAAATAGCCTCACTAGTTGACCAATTTGCATGAAATCATTTTCTTGGTCTGCCATTGGTCCTCTGCTTGGGATCAGATAAATAGACATTTGTTCAGCTCTCTCAGGATAATTTGTATAAGTAACAATAACAAACAAACAAACAAAAACAAGTAACTGATGGGGGAAGTCCTTCTGTGTATATTTTGTCCTATTGGTTGATAATAAAACACTGTTGGCCAATAGGGAAGCAAGATAGGTGGGACTGGGAGTTGAGGAGGATTCTGGGAAATGTAGTCAAGAATGGAGAGTCTGTGTCCTCAGTAAAATAGACCTTATAAAAAATATATTAGTAATTATGGGTTAATAATTAAGTCAGAGATAGCCATTAAGTAACCATAGCAAATGGCCAACAGCTTCATAACTAATATAGAGTCTCGTGTGTTATTTGGGGGCTGAGACAGCAGTGGGACCCAGGCAGCTGGCGGGGAAGAATGCACACTTCAGGCAACTGTTTCTGGTCACTTAATATGGCAACCTGAGTTCTGTATACAAGAAAATGGGCATTAATGGTGCGAGCTAATTTGGACTTTAAAATATACCAGGAATTTACTATTCATTGTCTCTTTTAGAAAAGCAAAGTTGGCAGAAGGATGACTAAGCATGGAGAA